TAACCACACATTCTTCAAATAAAATAATATTACACATAAACCCAAAAATTCTTCTTACTTTTTAACCACACATTCTTTACATCAATCACTATTCAAAAACTCATTCTTCAAAATAATGGGTGTCAAACGGGGCCTATATAATTGGGATAAGAAAATAAGGAAATTCAGTTTATATAAATGGGACAGATGGAGTAAAAAATAAAATTTTCTTACTAAATTTTTGGCACATCATCAGTATGTAAAATATTATACAAATAGTAATGTATAACAACCATTTTTCTTTTTGAATTATTCTACATGTACACTCATGTGTACACCCTTGATAACATAATGCACAAGTGACATTCTGTCATTAGGCGGAGAATTTTTTTTTTTTTTTTTCCATCAGCCAATAACAGAATGTTACTTGTGTATTATATCATCCAATGTGTACATCTAAGTGCACATTTAGTAAAGAAATAACAGTTTGGCAAAAATTGTTTTTTTTTTGCATCTGTTAAACTAACTAATTGTACATATAGCATAACTTCATGTGTTGTAACTAAAATGGAATGAATAGATGGGTGTGTTGGGGAAACTTTCACATTGACGGAGTTAAATGCCATTTTGTAAACAAGCATAACTTACTAATCAGTAATCACAAGTGATAAAAAGATAGAAATACCCTAGTTGTAGCTAATCATGAATGGTAAAATAAACGAGAATTTTGCTACACAAATATTTTAGTTGACATTCAGCTTTAGAGCTTGTTTGGGAGGGATTAAAATTAGATTAAAATTGAAAATATGACCGTTATTGTTGACTTTTATTAGACAAGTGTGACCCAATAACGGTCATATTTTCAATTTTAATTGGATTTTAATCCCTCTCGAACGGGGCCTTACATTATATCATTATGGCACACAATTTTACCAATTATTTCTCCAACAATTAAAACAATCAATAACCTCGATTTTGTTACCTATTCAAATGTCATTCAATTGTACACAAATAATGTACAACTAGCATAATTCAATAAAAAGATAATAACGTGGATAGCACACTCCATCCTCCAATAGCTTGTGAATGTTAGTAGTTTATATGAGAAATCATGGAACAATGCATGATATTTAAAGGGATGATTATATTCGCATCATAATTTTTATTCGTAAAATCATGTTTTAATTGTTGTTAAGCTCCTTAATCTCTGCTCGTTGTAACAATTATTTCTTTAATTTTTTCATCAAATTCTTATTTTCAACATTTCATTAATTAATACATCACATTCTCGATGATAATTTATGTCAAAATATTTTGTTTTCGTGCTTCGAAATGAGGTAAAAATATTTTTTTCATAATTTTTTATTTATTTTGTTTTTATATATGATGAAAAAAAAGTTGTTATATACTATTTTAACGAACTTTTTGGACATAAATTGTTATTAAATACAAAATGTGTTAACTAATGGAAAGTTTGAGGATAAGAATGAAATGAAAAATTGTTAGGAATATAAATGCTATAATGTGTAAAGAACCTTAGCCACTGTTTGATCTCTTTTTGGAGAGAAACGTGTTTTGAAATAGTAATTTTTTTGGAGAATATATGGTCAAAAATAGAAAAAAATTGGATTTATGTTTAATATTATTTTATAAAAAAAATGTGTGGTTGAAAATAAAATAAAAAAAAATGCAATGATGGAGAATGGGGCCTTGGGGCTTCAAAAGATGATTTCATAGGTATTAGGAGTAGGACGAGGCTAAACCTCTAAAGATTAGGTCAAGCTTTCAAGGACTAGTTCGTTCTCAAGATTTTCTTTGTTTGGACTTCATTTAAATGATATTTTGGGAAAAAAATGTAATTTGAAATAGTGAATTTTTGAAGAATGTATTATTAAAAAATAAGAAAAAATATTAAATTTACGTGTAATATTATTTTATAGAAGTATGTGTAGTTGAGAATGAGTTTTAAAAAATAATTTTTTAAAAAATTGGAGTCCAAACAAGCGTGCGCATATAAAGATTACACTCTATCGTGAAAATTATTGGGAATGAGTCCATAAGGAAGATAATATGCTTATGAGCAAGCCCATCGAGGTGAGGTTGCGTACTTGAGGATTTGAATATATCGAGGATGGAACCAAGCCTATCAGAGCGAGTTTCAACCAAGGATGAGAACAAGGTTCTTCTAACTCTACTAAGTTTGACTAGGCATACTTCATAAGCTCGAGAGTAACGTTATATCCTAAAATGACGAGGCATATTATAAAAAGAATTAAACTTGTTGTACACTCCTTGAGTACGAGTTTGACATTCAAAGGTGTGGCAAAATTTGTGTCATTAACTGTTAAAGCGTTGTTAAATCAATGTATAAAAAGCAGTCACCTCACACTGATGTCAAAGTTGATATTAAACTTGATATATATGTAGCAAGATTAATTATAAAATGTACAAATCCAAAATGACAAGAATGATCTAACACGAATGAGGATGATGTTACAATCATGCATGGTGTTTTGCCACATGTCAAATTGTCATTTGACAATTTAATTTTTTTTTTCAAAATAAAGTCAATATCAACGAACACTTTAGAGTGTACAAATGACATTTCTACCGAAGATGAGGCCAATTTCAACAAAACATTCACATGATTTATAGTTTTTATCAGTTTTTCAATTACACATTTCATCTTTTTATTAGAATTTACCAACAATTTGACTTTAGCCAAATCAAATGCGGGTTGAACAAGGCATATAATTTTACTTTAGTGGAGTTTATCAAATAGTATCATTAGACTTGTGTTGTAGCACTCTGTGATAAATAACATTATTTAAAAATACATATTCACAATGTGAACGTATTTTAATGAGATGACAACAAAGAGGATCGAACTAACACAAATGTATCATCACCGTCCAATTGGAATTTAAGAGGGTGTTTGATGAGGATTTAAACTAGATTTTTAGTAGATTGTAATATAAATTTTTGCAATGTGTGGTTGAAAGGTTGTGCAACCATAAAAGACGTGATTAATGTTAATTATTTGACTTTAATTTAAATTAAAATCAGATTTTAATCCAAAACAAACGTTCTCTATTGAGTTTGCAAAGGCATAGCCGCACAATCCTTTTAAAATTGCGGACGAGAATTAGCCACTGTTTGACATTCATTTTATTTTCATTTTATTTCTCATTTTTTTTCTCTTTCTTCATTTCAACCATACATTCTATCAATAAAATAATATTACACATAAACCCAAAATTTTTTTTTACTTTTTAACCATACATTCTTCTCATTAACCGCTATTCCAAAATTTATTTTTCATCAAAATGGGTGTCACACACACCCTAATTCGCCCAAACGGTCGACACTGCAAATTTCATAAAATTCCAAAATTAACCCCCCCGTCTCCAACGGTCTATTTGGACAATTTTCCGATTACCCGAGCAAAATGCAGTAAGACCCTTCAATTCACATCTCAGATCCCACTTTCCTCTTCAATTCAAACGGTAATATGATTCCTTTGTCCCTGAGCCTCAAACCCCCGTTATTCTCACCCTACTATTCTTACAATTGCCACTCACAGAAGACCCGCATACAGAAAACAATTCTGTGCTTCAGAAACAAAAGAAGGCGATATGGGTTTGAAAGATCAACAAAGCTCGTGCTAGAATCAGCTTGTATTATTGCTTCGAAAATTGGGATTTTACCGGAGCCACTGGAGTTATTGTTGAGAGAATTGGGAGGTGGTAATAGAGGCGGTAATGGAGGAGGGTTTGGATCCTGGAATGGATTTGGATGGGGAGCTTTCGATGGTTCGAAAAAGAGAAGGAAATCGAAACTGGGAATTTTAGTTATTTTTGTAATTTTGGGTGTTGGCCTCTGGTTAGTTTCGGGTAAAGAATTGGTTATAGATGATGTTTCCTTGGGGGGCTTGGGTTTAGTTTTATTTGGGCTTTCAATGGATGGGTGGAGAAGAGGAGCTAAAGATTGGATTTTGGGATTTTGTTGCTGTGCTGTTTTGATGAGTTTATTGTGCAAGAAAGAAAATCTTGAGGGATGTGTTAGGTATTTTAGGACTATGAAGCTGAATAGAAGAAGAAAATGGAGAGTATTCTGATGAACCTCGGACATTTTTTTTTTTTTGGGTACTATTTGTTTTAATTTTTCATTACGTTTGTGCAGTCTGCAATTTTGCATTGTTGTTTCAAGACGAGGATTTTTATGTTTTTTGGTTTTCGCCGTGTTGGTTTTGTGACATGAATTTTTAATTGAAATCAGCTTATGATGACTCTATGGTTGCATAACTTCTAAATGTATTAATCTTTCTGAATTATTGATAACAAGTGATGTTGCACGAAATAAGTAATGTGCAATAAATAATCAGATTAATATTGAAACCATTCATCAAAAGAATGCCAAGTAGTAGACTTTATCGATTTTCTTAATTGATAAATAGAACAATAAATGCATTTCCTTTCATGCATTCTTTCATCAACAGTCCTAGGTGCTGGCATGATCCTGATGTACAAATTGCTTTGGTTCACACTTTTTTGGTAGATTTATTCAATAGTAGTAGCTGAATCATTAATATGTTTTGTTTTCTTTTGCTTTCACTTCATTATTGGCACATACATACAAGTTGGAGTCAGCATACAAGATGTATTTTAAGCTCGGCTGCATTGGGCACCTATCTCAATTTGTAAAACACAAGTCACTTAGGTGCATTTTAAGTTCAGGGTTATCTTTGATAAAACATGAAAAAAAATTTGTACACCTCCAATATAGTGAAAAGTTGTAGCGCTAAGTGGGTATAGCTCTCACATTTAGGTTGAACTGTTATAAATCTGTCAGCTTTGCTCATCTTCAGATTACTTTTTGTGTATTATTGCTCTCGGAAGTAGGGATTAGGACTTTATCCAGAACAATGGAGCAGTGTTATTTCAACATCTCGTGTTCATGGAGTTTTGAATTGTAATACCACAATGGCATATTTGATAGGAAGGATTTGATAATACTGGATAGAATTAAAGAAAAAAAAAAAGAAAAGCTAATCTTGTTCATTATTTGTCTTGTCTTGTGGACCAAACACCCACTGATTGTTATTACAACATGAATATTGTTCAAATTAATGATAAAAGTGAAGTCACATTGATTGTGTGATCTTGACTGTTTTCTGAAACTCACCTAGAAGCATCGTTGTACCAACCACTACTGATCATGGCAAAAAAGGCTGTAGTTCTACTCCACTTTATGCTTTACAATCATCGGCTGAAAGGCTGAAAGTGATATGTTATCCTTAGAAATTTATAATCTCTTATCTCTTATATAACCTGACCCATTGTATATGTGTCTTTGAGCTTGTGAATGACCCAACTACATATAGTACTATGAGAGAACTTACTGTAATCATTTCTGGACATGAGAAGGCAGTGATGGATGTGAAAAGTCGTGAAAGGGTATATCCAGTTAATGGATCAATATGTGTCAAAAAGCATAGTCACTGTACCATATTTGCAGCCAGTGTGGATATGGTTGCAAAATCTATAGAGAGGAGAAACGATAACTGGTAATTATTTAATTTTAGTCCATTTCTTTTGTTTCAGTGTAAGTGTTTGTCCATGGAATTTGACTAACAACATGTCATGTAGGTTCATCCAGACTAAAGTTCCTAATGATTTGATCATACAAATTGAAGAAAAGAGCTTTCACTTGCATAAGGTACACTCATCAGTTTTTCCTCCTAAATTGATTATCACCAGATTCACCCTTCATTACCTTATTGTAAATTAAAAAAATCAAAAGATAGAAGTTTTGTGTTATGAAACAATGTATGAAAATATTTTAATATTATGTACGGCAAATTATTAGGTTTAAGTTGGTGTCATCCTCTGCTAGTATGAAGAATCAAGAAAGCAGTCCTAGTAGCAACTGGATGCATTTATTTTATTAAATAAAGCAATGGAGAGTATGGAACTAAAAACATGAATATCAACTGATCAGTTTAGCGCAGAAGCACCCTGTTCAATTGTTATTTTCTGTCATCTCGTCTATCATGAAATTTGTCGGTACTAGAAGTATATAGCTGTCATTATAGCATTCTTACCGAAGCCTTTGTAGAATTAGTCCCCACAACGGAAAATATGGAACCCAGAACATGATATCATTAATTGTTTCAGTTTTGTGCAGCCCTGTTCAATTGTTATTTTTCTGTCATCTCGTCTATCACGAAATATGTTCTTTCTAGATGTATATAGTTGTGATTGTAACATTCTTACTGTAAGGCTTTGCAGAAATTAGTTCCGGCAATAAAAAATATGGAACTAAGAATTAACTGTTCAGTTTTGTGTGGATGTGCCTGTTCAATTTTTATTTTTCTGTCTTCTCTATCATGAAACATGTTCTTTGAAGTTTAAGTTGTAATTGTAACATTCTTAGATTCTCACTAAAGGCTTTGCAGAAATTAGTCCCCTCAAAATTTCTTACTTTAATACTTCTTAATTTGTGGTTTGTTCTATATTCTGTTCTTTCAGCTTCCTCTGGTCTCAAGAAGTGGTTTTTTAAACAGAATGGTATTTCAGAATCGTGGATATGGCAATCTTAGTCTCCAGATCGACAATCTCCCTGGTGGATCAAAATGTTTTGAGTTAGTTTTAAAGTTCTGTTATGGTTGGAAGGTCAATCTTACAGCAACAAATGTTGCTCCACTTTATTGTGCCGCTCACTTCTTGGAAATGAGTGATGATCTTGAACAAGGAAATCTGATTTCGAAAACTGAGGACTTTTTGAGTTATATAATTGTTTCATCGTGGAAAGATACATTTAGAATCTTCAAAAGCTGTGAATCCATCTCTTCCTGGGCCCGAGACTTGCAAATATTGAAACGATGCTCAGAAACAGTTGCTTGGAAAGTCTGCACGAATGCCTGTGCAAATGGAAGTGCGGAAAATGAACTGTATTTGAATGTTTTGTCTGAAAGCATAAATCAAATGGATACCAACAATTTATCAGATGGGTGGTGGTTTGAAGATATTTCATTTCTTCGAATAGATCATTTCGTTGAAGTAATTGAATCAATCAAAAGAAAAAAGGTTCAGCCTAATCTTGTGGGTTCATGTATCACTCTCTGGACAGTAAAGTGGCTTTCTGGACTTACGTTGCAGCACAACAATCTGAATCAGACAGATCTGACTGTCCAAATGCACAAGGTTACAACTGAATGTTTGATAAAGATACTGCCTGCAGAAAGAAATTCAGTTTCCTGCAATTTTCTACTTCATCTTTTAAAGGCAGCTCATATCATGAAAATTGAGTCAGAGTTGCTACACAAGCTTGAAAGAAGAATAGCGCTCATGCTTGAAAGCTGTAAAGCTACAGACCTTTTAGTTAAGAGTAGTGCCAGTCTTTTCGATGTGGACATAATTGCTAAAGTGGTCGAAGCTTATGTTTCCATATCTTTAAGTAATACCCTACCAAGAATGTATGCCGTTGGAAGGTTGGTCGATGAATATCTTGTGTTAGTGGCCAGAGACGAGAATCTTCCTGCAAAAAGTTTCCAGCTACTTGTGGAAGTGTTGCCAAAAGAAGCTAGAAGTTGCGATGACGACCTTTATAGAGCTATAGACATTTACCTTAAGGTATGCAATTTTTTTGCTCAGATTTTTTTTTTTTTTAAATTGTTGGTTGAGACATGAGTAGTTATGTTGAGCTAAAAAAAATATTGACTTACTCTTGACAAATCCCTTGATTCTCAAATTATCTGTATATATTCCTTGATTTCGTCCTGAAATGATTTTTACATGTTTGTATTTATTCTCTTAGTTTCTTATTTTTGAAATTCCATAACCCGATTAATTTATAGGAACCTATTTCTCTATTAGTTTCGTACAAATCCATTGTGTAGAGTATTCAAAGGAGGCAAAATCTTTGGGTTCAAGTCTTGCCACAACCCTTATGTGCAAGTGTCAGTCCTTGATAAAAATATGAATCTGACTTGCAAGTGAGGGGCATGTTTAAGACTAAATTTTAAAAAATCATTGTTTCCATTCTCTAACGTTTTAGTGCTTGTTTGAGAGTGATGAAACTATATTTTAAATAGCGGGTCCTACAAAATTTGTTGATAAAATGTGGGTAATAAGTTATGGGTCCATAGAATGTGTGGATAGAAAATGTGTTAGTCAAGTTTAAATTATAATTTAAGCTTTGCCATGTTAGTCAAAAAATTATATAATTGATTAGGATTGGGTTTCTTGGGAATATGTGGGGTTAAGAAATAGGTAAGAGTTGTGGGTTATATGAAATGTGTGGATAAAATCAGAGTTTGACCAAATTATAAACAATTATAGTTTTTGAGAAAACGTTAAGATTTTATACAATTTGGTTGAACACCTCCCTTGACTTAGTCCATGTGATATTATTTCAGTTCAAATGTGAAATTATTTTAATATAGATTATGTTTTTGCTATTAACTATGCAGGCACATCCTAACCTGAATGAAGAGGAAAGAAAAAATATATGTAGGGTCCTGGAATACCATAAACTTTCCCAAGATGCACGCCAGCATGCCACAAAGAATGAACGGTTGCCAGTGAACATTATCACACAGTTTATGCTTCTTGAACAAGTTGATATGTCAAGATCTTTCATGGCTGCTGCATTGAATAACCAGAGAACAAAATCACAGGCAATACTACGAGTTAGTGAAGGTGCGGGAAAGGAATGGATAAACACCCAGAAAGAAATAAAGATAATTAAAGAGGACGTTGATATGTTGAAATTTCAAGTCGGTGAATTGCTGCAACGTAAAGTGGAGCTCCAAAAGCATATGAATAAGGGGGTAATTTTAAACGGATGGTTATGCGCAGGATAAAATGGTCGAACATTTTCTTCAATTCTATTCTGTTTGCAAGGCTTAGAACAAACCGAACGCCTTTTTCTTGACTCTGTCTGAGACTCTGAGTAGAACTCAAAAATGAATGAATCATATGGAAATGAGTATTGTAGTGAAATAAGTATTGTAGTAAGGTAATCGGTCATATCCTCCCGTTCCAATTTACTGTTGTATGTTCCAAATTTATTTTTACTTCCTTTTCTGAGATTAACATAAGAGGTTGGTTGTTGTTTAATGTTGATTGATGGAACGAGATTGTGCTGCATGTGTGAATTCATGAATACATCTTATAATTAGTTTTCTGTTATGAAGCTAGCAGCATCCCTTTAATTCTACTTTACATTCTTTATCTTGTTCCCTATCTTTTCTTGATTTTGTAATAGATGGTATGCTCTTGCATAATCCTTAAACCAATTACAGAATCCTCTGTGCCTACTCAGTTCAACATTTCCAAATCTTAGGAGAGTCGAGAGAAGCTCGGGAGTTGCTCTCGAGCTGTCTAGTAGAGCAGCTAAATCCCATAAACACTAGCATTACATAGGCATACCTCATATGGTGATGCAATGCTAAATTGAAATGATTCAAAAGTTTAATGATAAAATCGAAACAAATAAGAATTAAGAGAATGAGTATTCACTCAGAGTTGAGGGACCAAAAATGTTTTTTATGATAAGCAATTTTCTCAAAACATCCCTCGTTATGGAAAACAATGACATACCACATGTTTTGTGCCCTTTGAATCAAATTAACATCAATTTATCCGCACACCGATACGGGTACGAGCTCCAATTTGTCCCGCTTCCAATTAATCAGTATACAATTCCTTTAATATTTAGCCTATGTTTGAGCTCTGAGAGAAAAAATGCATTATCCTATCTAATCACATTGCCCACCATGTGAAATCTTCAACTTTCAATTTTACCCCTTCATTCAGATATTCACGCGTATGGAAGAAACAAAATGTGGGAGATATACACCGATAATGTGCATATTGTATTCAAATCAATACATACTGTTTCATACTCACGAAATCGAAATAGAATTCGACTTACCAATATGGAATTTGAGAAGACAATCAACAATTATCGAAGTTGAACACGTGTCGACGGATTCAATATGTTTCATACTTTATTTCAAACCTTGCATGAAATCAAAAGAATATTAGTTACTTTCCGAAATCAAAATACTAAATTGGAATGAAATCGGAAAAGAAAGATGAGATGCAAGTGATGCGATCGGTCGAGGCAAGTGTTTGACACTTTGTCCTTAAGATGAATTTGCCCCNACGAGCTCCAATTTGTCCCGCTTCCAATTAATCAGTATACAATTCCTTTAATATTTAGCCTCTGTTTGAGCTCTGAGAGAAAAAATGCATTATCCTATCTAATCACATTGCCCACCATGTGAAATCTTCAACTTTCAATTTTACCCCTTCATTCAGATATTCACGCGTATGGAAGAAACAAAAGCCATGCATTTTTTGACTTTTCCAATCAATACTTTGTCAGAGTTTTCAACCATGCTATTTGTACTGAAAATGGTTGATGAAAATGGATGATCGTTCACTCACAATAGGGGGCCCACTTTTTTTGGAATTTTTTAATCACTCAAGCCTCGCACGCATGTGAGAGGTTGTCAAACTCCTCTGTCATCCATTTATGTACAAAATATTGGCCCTCTTCTTTGTGATAATGCAACTGCTTACTTTATTCTGTCTGTACATGCTCCGTCTGTACACCGTTTGTCCTCGTGTGTTATTGTTTGTTCATTTCTACAAATAATTGTTAGTTTCAATTGTCAAAGACTATAACCTTTACGAATGAAGCATTGAAATTTCAACCAAATTATACACCATTAATTTGAGCAACGTCAGAATCAGAAATGACGGTTTACAAAATTATATAGAAACATATTCACGTTCGCTGGAACAATTCAATACAACCAACTTTGTAACTCACAGACAACATAAATATTTAAAAACTCCTAATGAATATGAGACAATTTCGTTCGACATAGGTAGATTTTATCGAACGTCATTGTTGTTGTGCCATGTAATCGCGTAACCTATTCCACTCACTTCGTTGTATTTCTAGTGCATTCATTTCAACATCGATTTCGCCATCCTCGTTCGGTAGCTCCACCTTCGCAGCTCGTATCCGCATCCACTCTCGTGATGGCCTCGTCAACAACACCAGACTGGTGAAGGAAGTTATGAATACCCATTATTTCAACGACAATTGCGATTTATGTGGGAAACGAATAGATCGACATAAGGTCCAGGATTTTCCATCTTTGTTTCCATACACCAAATGTACATTCAATAACATTCTACAGGAAGAGTGCGTGAAGTTAAACTTCTCTTGAACATTTCGAAACTTACGTCGATGATCAGTTCTTTCGTCGCGGAAACTTCCTGAAGTGGTACAATATATGAGACTCTTTGTATATATCCTGACCGATATGCAAGTCCCAAGTTGACTAAGTAAAACGTATCGACGACGGGTTGGGGAAAATGAATGTTCGGATTATGTATAGCATAAACTAACATGCTTTGTGCGTATTCTTAGTTGTGCCGGCTAGCACAAATAGGGGTGTTCAAAAGTTCCGAACTGAACCGGACCCGAACCGAATCGAATCGAGTGATTCTTTATAAGTTAAATACCCGAACGGATACCTGAATCGAGAACCGATGAGTTTGGGTCGGGTCTAGGGTCTAGACCAAGAATCGAAGAACTGAAACTAAATAATATATTTTTTATTTTTTTATTGAATTAATTAAATTAATTTATTTTTTAAAATAAATTAGCAAATTAATTAAATAATTAAGATTATTTCATCATTTTAATTTTAAAGCCCATTAGCACATTTTAATTTGATCATGACTACAT